GTTTAAAGCTATGTTGGAATCCCTAAGAATTACCTTCTCCAATGGGTTAGTTAATTTTTATCAATCAAAGACTAAAGATAAAAAATAAAGAGATGATTTTATTCAGAAACTATGGAATTTCTGTGCTTAAAAGCAAGGAGGGGATCATGTCTATAACACTAATTATGTGGGATTTTTCTGAGATCCATGATATGGATTCTATTAGCCTCTTATGTGAAAGAACACAGTCTTCCACTGAGTTCAGGTGATTCTGGTAACGTGTTTTAGGGCAGTGGTCGGCAAAGGGCGGCTCACGAGCCACATGCGGCTCTTTGGCCCCTTGAGTGTGGCTCTTCCACAAAATACCACGTGCGGGGACGAACATACAGTGCGATTGAAACTTCGTGGCCCATGTGCAGAAGTCGGTTTTGGGCCTGGGCGAGTCTATTTTGAAGAAGTGGCGTTAGAAGAAGTGGGGAGTGTTGGTAGGTGGGGAGACAGGAGATGCAGCGCAGGCTGGGCCAAGGGATACTCATGCACGAGTTGAGTGAGCCAGTCAGTCAGCAGTCTCATTGTGCAGTGGTTAGTGCTAGTCGTGTCCGCAAATCGCGCACGGGTGACAAAAGATAGACGAAACAAGTATACAAGACGAGTGTGGATGGGAGAGTTGGAAGGGGTCGACCTCAGCGAACGTACCTCAATCAGATTGAGGACGTTTTTAGCAAAGGCCAGCTTAGGAGTACCCTAATTAAGTTAATAACAATGTACCTACCTATATAGTTTAAGTTTAAAAAATTTGGCTCTCGCCCTAACCGGTTTGGCTCAGTGGATAGAGCATCGGCCTGCGGACTCAAGGGTCCCAGGTTTGATTCCGGTCAAGGGCATGTACCTTGGTTGTGGGCACATCCCCAATAGGAAGTGTGCAGGAGGCAACTGATCAATGTTTCTCTCTCACCGATGTTTCTAACTCTCTATCCCTCTCCCTTCCTCTCTGTAAAAAATCAATAAAACATATATATTTTTTTAAAAAATTGGCTCTCAAAAGGTATTTCAATCATTGTACTGTTGATATTTGGCTCTGTTGACTAATGAGTTTGCCAACCACTGTTCTAGGGGATGGGTATAGATTTAACCATATATTCTTGAAAACTCAAAACCTCAACTCTTTGTTTTTCTTTTTTAATACACAAAAGAATATATTATATATGTATATATATACATATATATGTTTTTAATATATTTTTTATTGATTTCAGAGAGGAAGGGAGAGGGAGAGATCAAAACATCAATGATGAGAGAGAATCATTAATTGGCTACTTCCTGCACACCCACTACTGGGATAGAGCCTGCAACCTGGGCATGTGCCTTTGGCTGGAATAGAATCTTGGACCCTTCAGTCCACAGGCCAGAGAGAGAGAGAGAAAGAAAGAAAGAAAGAAAGAAAGAAAGAAAGAAAGAAAGAAAGAAAGAAAGAAAAAGAAAGAAAAAGAAAGAAAAAGAAAGAAAGAAAGAAAGAAAGAAAGAAAGAAAGAAAGAAAGAAAGAGAGAAAGAAAAACATCAATGTGAGAGGAAACATTGCTTGGTTGCTTCTGGTACACGCCCTGACCAGGGTTTGAATCAGCAACCTAGGTATGTGCTCTTTCTTACCAGGAATTGAACCCACTATTGTTTAAGCTAGCTGGTCAGGGCAACACTTTAGTTCTTTTTTTTTTTTTTTAATGGTTTAGAAAAATCATTTTATTGTGCAAAGCCTTGGGGGAATAAAGTTATTTGTAATTTATTTACGTCTTTTACTTCACTAAATTGCTTTGGCGATCACACTTCCCATTTAAGTGATTAAAGACATAAACCCAAATAGTTTAATAACGCAATTACTTAAAAGTCCTATTTTTCAACAGAGGTGAACTGAAAAGTATCAACAGAATGTTTAGTGTTCATTATGTTCAAGAAGGTTTGTTATTCAGAACACAGCGCCCCATTGACTAGAACTTAGCCAGGTTTCCAAACACATAATATGGTACACACTTGGATTAAATATGACTTTTTTTTTCTCCTCTCAGAATATCAGGTGAAATAGTGACAGCAACTGAAAGGTTCATGAAATAGTTCATGTCGCTGCAAGTTCAGGTGACAATTTTTTTTTTTTACTTCTCCTTACCATTCCTCCTCTCTAATGACAAGCCTAAATAAAATGTGTTCCTATTTTCCAGGTGGGTCTGAAAAGCTCCCTAATTGTCAAAGCCCCGTGTTTACACTGGGGTTCTCCCCACGCCGATTCTCTTTAGCTAACTACTTAGGTGACACTAGCAACATCACCATGACTTCTAGGCAATTGATTGACCTAAATACAAAACTGTGTCTTCACAGAGTTTTGGAGAGAAACTGAATTGCTGGGGTTTAAAAAAAAAAAAAAAGGAAGAAACCAAATTTAACAAAAATTATTTCTATATTTTCCTGTATCTTTTTTTTTTAAGCCCCTTCCTTTCACCTATAATGAGAATCATACAAACTCCTTTACCGAGTCTATCCTGAGGAACAGAAGGAAACATGACAGCAAAACTTTCCTAGTTCATATCCTTCTGTTCGTGATATCAAGCCTACTTAATGTGTGCTTTTATTACATTACAAAATTCTAACTCTCACGCGTTCATGACAAAGATAGCACATAAAAACTCCCAGCCCTGGCATTTAACAAGGCACTCCATTGAAAAATCACCTTCAACCAAAACATTTTTTAACTTTGACTTGAGTCCATTTCAAATGTTCAGAAGATCTTTTTCTTTTTCTTTTTTTTGTCAAGCCAGAGGAAGATGGAAAACATGCACATTCAAACCTACTTTCTCTTTAAAACAATAATAGATAAGCATGTGGGTTTGCATTAGTAATAACCAACTGAACATCAACATTAATAGGGCTGGCACTTAAGAATGTAGGAAACATTTGGTAGCTTTTCCTCTGTTTACTTTTGTCCATGAAGGTTGGTGGGGGGAATGTGCATTTTCCGACTGTCAATGAAGCTGTCATCATGTGGTGCCAGTAGTCACTGGTCCACTTCTGACTCAGGCCAAGTTCTATGCCGGGTTTTTATTCTACACAACTGGCACAGGAACAGGAAAGTTTAACAGTTCATTGACTTGGCACAATCCACATGCTGTCACAGTGCAGGTTTTGTCTCTTACAGTCTTGTTTGGTGAAATACCTCCCCCTCCCCCAGTAGGTTTCCAATCATTGCTATTCTAATTAACCAACAAAAGGCAACACCACTTCCCCCATCTCTAATTTCCACCAAAGGCCTGACATCATTTTCTGACCCCTCTCATCTTGCTAGGTTCTAATATTCCCAGCATGTGTGCTTTCACTTGGCACTTCAAAATGGAATTCTTTCATTGAAATGTGCTTTCCACCACACTGTAACTGGGAACGAGCATTTTCAAATGCAGACGACCGATTCCATGGTCAATTTTAAAACAAATGGTGGATAAGAAAGGCACACGACACATTTGGTAAATACATGCCATGTATGATTTCCCCCAGATGTGATGGCTCCGTCAAGAAGAATGAAAAATCAAAAAACGGTACCAGGTGCCATTCTTGGGCCTTGTCCAAAGGCAGCCAAATGGAAGATTCTGTTTTACTCTGTTCTCCCCCACACTAAGTAATAGTAATCAACGTCAGAGAAGAGCATTTGGATTTGAACAGATGGCATCCAACAACACTTAACAAGAGCAGCTACTCTTTCAAGAATGACATCCTACATGTCTGATGGACCCACGGATCAGAAGGGCTTATTGTCCTAAGAGGGTTGGCAGGGAGATACATCCCGTAGTCACCATCCCAACGCTTAGGAATACGCGTCATTCTCCAGGCAGCAACTGGGAGGTCCTCTCCACGGGGTTCTTCATCACCGCTTGGCTGCAGCTGTTATCCACGTAGGAAGCCATCTCTCCCCTCGGGCCGGGCCGGGGCTGCTCCGCACCCGTGTGGGCCTCCTCCCGGCCCAGCGCAGCCGCTGCCTCCGCCCTGCGCGCTCCGCCCGCCCTCGCGGGGCTCAGCCCTCCCGGCGGCGGCGGGGCTCTGGGGTCCGGAGCGCGGGACAGGCGCACGGGAGACCTGGTGGCTCCACTGCCGGGACAGTGGCGGCTCCTCCTGGCCCCCGCGGGCCTCAGCTATTTTTAGGCAGAACGAGATACATGGAAAGAAAGGAGGCAGCGGTCAAGC